GATTTAATTTTTTGGTTTTAAATTTATTTTGAACTTCTTATTATTGTTATGCATTAAACGAGTTCGAGTTCGAGTTCGAGCTCGAGTTCGAGCTTGATTCGAGCTTGATTCGAGTTCAAGTTCGAGCTTGATTCGAGCTTGATTCGAGTTCGAGTTCGAGCTTGATTCGAGCTTGATTCGAGTTCGAGCCTGAAAAATAGTTTTCGAGTTCGAGTCGAGCTTCGATTTTGACTACTCGCGAGTTTTCGAGTCGAGTTCGAGCTTCGAGATTAGGTTTCGAGTTCGAGTCGAGTATAATGATACTCGAGCTCGACTCGCATCATTTACACCCCTAGGTTCCACTCTTACAGGAACCTATTTACAAATAAAGTTTTGATTTAATTTTTTTAGAAATTTAATTTAATTTTTTCAAAATTTAATTTTCTTTCTTAAAAATTAAAAAAATTAAAAATCCGATTTTTTAAAAGATAAACATTTTATTTTGTAAATTTAATTTTTATTTTTATTTTAAAATTTAATTTTTGTTTAAAACATTAATTTTTTTTTCAAATTTTAATTTTTTCTTAAAAATTTAATATCCGATTTCTTTTTAAATTTAATTTTTTTTTAAAATTCAAATTTTATTTAAAAATTTATTTCGACCATACCTGGGGTGGCTTTTCTAATTTTTTTTAAGAAATAAATAACTTAAAAAAATTAAATTTCTTAAAAATATTAAATGTCTAAACAAGTTAAAGAAACAAATAATTTTAAAAGAAATTAAAGTTCTAAAAAGCAAATTAAATTTTAAAAGAGAATAAATAAATTTTGAATAGTGTTGTATTAGGGATGAGAAAATTGAATAGTGTTATGTTGGGAAGGAGGAAATTGAATATTAAATTTTTTTATTTTTTATTTTAAAGAAGAATTTAAAAAAAAAATTAGGTATCTGAAAAAAAATTAAAATTTTAAAATGAAAATGAATTTTAAAAAAATTAAAAAGAAATCGGATCTTTAAAAAAATTAAAATTTTTAAGAAAAAAGTTATTTTTAAACAAAAGTATATATATCTTTAAAAAAAAATTAAACTTTTATAAAAAAAAACTTATAACTTTTTTAAAGGCATGTGCATGGTTAGGACCGTAAACGAATCGAACGTTCAGCGAACCGTTCGGCGGGAAGTGCGTTTATGTTCGTTTATTTAATTAAATGAGCGGACATGAACAAATTTTTTGTTTGTTTTGTTAAACGAACGAACATGAACAAGAGTTTCGATCGTTCATTTATGTTTTTGAAGTTCGTTCATTTACCGTTCATTTATATATTAAATTTAATATACTCTTTTGTTTATTTACTCTAAATTCAAATAATATTTATTTATGTTCGTTTAGCATGTTAAAGAACGAACATAAACGAATACGAACACATCTTATTTCTAAACAAACGAATACGAACACAAAGATTTTCGTTCATTTACCATTCGTGTTCGTTCATTTGTTCGGTTAAGTTAAACGAACGAACATGAACAAATATTCATTCGTGTTCGTTCGGTTCATTTACAGCTCTAGGCATGGCCCCTTACGTGCCACATGGTGTGTGGTGCGTAAAAATGGGTCTCATCTCATAATTTTCATTTTTTTGATAAATCATAACTTTTGGTAATTACATTTTAGTCTTTGTACATGCTTAAAAGGTGCTAACAAGGTAACAAATGATTATTTGGTTAAATAATTTAATTTTAAGATTATAAATTATTTATTTCATAGGGTTAGTTTCGTCAGAAACCCATTGGTCAATGACTCAACAGAACATCTAGCTGAAGTGGATCTGATTAGACATTTTTGAACTACATACTAATTAAGTGATCGCATGTGACAACACATTTATAACCAAAACCAGTCATAATAAATTAAAAGACCAGTCATATAACCGATTTTGACCATATATGAATAAAGTATAATACTATAAACAGACAACGTCATATTTTCTTGATCATTTAGTTACGTTTTGTTGATACAAAACAACTTAATTTTTGATACCACGTCCAATTTCCTTTTCAACTCGGGATTCTTTATTTCGATTTTGAGTTAAATTCGTTTGATCTTAAATAAAAGGTAGCTTCAATAAAAATTTAAATCGTTCGACACATTCAACCAACTCGAGCTACATTCTGAAAGATGAGATGTACGGAAATGTAACGAGTTGAAAGTTGACCCTTAAACGAAAATTAACAAAAACCAATGAACAAATATTGTTTTATTATATCAACATCTGCAAAATATTGATCTAAAACACCCTAACTAAAAAAAACCCTCATTCCATCCCAACTCTTATGGATGGGATAAGGACTAATATCAGTACTATGATCACCGATCAAGATACTGTTATTTTTTAGTTTGAAATAAAAACCAAGATACGAAAAAATAACCTCCAAAATCAACGTATAATCTCAAAACAAACTCAATAAAATGTTCAGAACAATTCATCGTGTGCTATCTTTATCCGACTCATGAGTTTTATTCTCTACTTGGAACTGGATAGAAGAGCTTGGGCATCGGATGTGGTTGGTAATGCTGGGATGGCTCCTTTCTTTGTCGTGCATATTGCTCCACACGCATTCGAAAACGCTAGTGCCTGCTTCAATTTCGCTTCATCCTGAATAAAACATTCGAAAAAAATTCAAAAACAAGAACCCTTACGGACCAAAGGAACTCAGTATATCCCACTTGAAAGCAAGTGTCTACTTCAAAAGGTAGATTGGTTGTTTTCAGTGTGAAAACCCTAACTTGTGCAAACGTGTGAGCGAAAAAGAAATAGAACCAAGATCGTAAATAATAAAAGTATATGTCTTGTTACCGTAAAAATGGAAGTGTCTTTCGCCATGGAAACGAGTAGCGAGCCGACAAAAGCGTCTCCGGCACCGGTTGTGTCAATTGCCTTCACCTTGCATCCGGGCACTTTTCCCTTGAAGGACTACACTTGTCGAAAATAGTTACCGTTCACACATCCATGATTCAATGTCGTATAACGAATAAAATTAAAGAAATCGAGATGTAACAGGACATGCCTTGGTGTAATAACGACAACCCTTCTCGCCATCGGTGACAACCATAAGCTTCAGACCGTCGTGCCACAAAGACTTCACGGCATCTTCGTTATCGGCACTCTTTTGTGTCAAGAATTCCACCTCATCATCGCTCACCTACACAAAAAAGGCATATTCGTCTTTTTGACATCCAAAAACCATAGAAGTCATATAAATACGATATGTACCTTAATGAAATCAGCTTCCTTCCAAATGCTCTTGATGCCTGTCCTAGCGGCGTCAGCAGAAGGCCACAAGGGTAGGCGGACATTGGGGTCATAAGAGAGCAAGACCCCCGCTTGCTTGGCGGCCTTCATGGCCGCCATATGAGCAGATCTACATGGTTCGGTGATTAGACTGATCGAGCCGTAGTGAAAGATGTTGGCCTTCTTGATCATATCCATTTTGAGCTCGGACTCTTTAAGGAGCATGTCCGCACTCGGGTTCCTGTAAAACATAAACTCTCTTTCGCCATCTTTCTTAAGCGTCACAAACGCTAATGCCGTCCTGGCGTGTTCGTCAAACAACACGCCATCAGTATTCACTCCATTCTTTTTCAAAATATCAGTCAACATGTACCCGAACTCATCTTTTCCGACCTATTCACAATGATGAAATCACCATTAACAATAAACCATAGAACACAATTTATCCAAAAATCAGTATATGTATACACATAAGAATCATCTAAGAACAACATTCATTCATATGAATTGGACACCATAAACATATACTAGAAGCGTACTCGCGCAATGCAGCGAGATACATCATGATTTTAATATTTCATTTTCTTCTTTATCTCAGTCGATATTATAATATGGCTTTATGTGATTTTGAGAAAGCGATGATGTTTTTATTTTTGAATAAAATATATGTTTGAAGATATCATAAAAATT